AATAAATCCTCTAACTTTTTTTGGACGTGTAACAGATAACTATGAACTATGTTTCTTTAACTTGTTGAATACCTACTGAATGTAGCAACATTTTGAGAGAGACTCACACCACTAGAGGAAGTCTCACTTTAAAGAAACATGACTATTTCGATAAAGTCTATGGTGACGTATCACGTCTGCTCAGGTGGTGTTCCTCTACCAGCAGAGAAAAGATGTCACAGCAATGTAATTACATTTGGTAATACCAAAAGTACAACAACATATTTTGGACTTTTTGATTTTAAACTACCTTGCTCTCTCCAGAAGCATTTTTTTCATAAAACTTAAAAAAAAAAAAAAAAAAAAAAAAGGCATCACATTGTAACTGCAAGAGTGAGCAGCTTACTCACGTATTAATGAACAGAGGCCTAAACTTTCAATACTGGCTAACAACTCAAGGAGCTAAATTGAGACAGGCTCAGTTGTAACAAGCACTGGGGTACCTGCCAACAGAAATCCAAATGGAACATGAGAATCACACCCAGTCCACTTTCTCTGTATTTGCCCCATCTATGTAACTATCGCCCTTCACACAGGTTAAGGCAAAAGTAATCTTACTGCTAAAGGCACTTGAATTTGTCCTAATAGACTTCTCCTAGTTCACTAACATGCTAAACAGAAATTCCACTAAAATATACATGGATACAGTTAATGCATCATATCAGAAGCAAAATTATCTTTTCCATTGAGCCTTTTTTCCAGAGGGGTCTCAGACAGGCTACTTTATTCCTGCAATGAGACTGCAGCTTTTAATTATGGGTTCTCTTTGCTGCGGAAACAGTAACCCCCCAATACCCAGATGAACACAGTCTCCACTGTGTTGGAATGCCTTCCTACAGACATGATTTGTCCCACATAATTCACAATGCAAGTGAAAAAAGGTGACGTGACAAATAAGTATAACAAACAATAGAACTAGCTTAACAATAGCAGTGGAGAAAGTTACACTAGTTCAACCTGATTCAGAAGACTGACATTTTTGAATAAACTGTAAAAGATACCATTAGCTACCTCTGACTGACCCACAACTCAAGTAGCACCAGGGGGATGCCTTACTCCAGGTGTCCCTGCAGACAGCAAGAGTCACAGGAAGGAACTGCTAGCGCTAAATCACTTTCTGCCAGAATATGCCTATTTCTGCAAAATGCTTCTTTAGTTTCTTCAGAGGACAAGTTTTTTACAGAAGGGACTTTGTTAGGGACCAGATAAACTTTTGTCAAACTTGTCCCAGAGAGGACAGGTGAGGACCAGGGCTGGGACAAACATGTCTCTTCGACCAGCAGGTCTTATAGGAGGTGGAAAAATCCTTGAGGGGCATGATTCGCAAGCAAGAATCCACAGCATAATAATCTAAAAATAAACAAATAATTAAGGTTTAACTGCTTATGACAAGGGGTTACATAACCTTTTGTGAAAAGCTGCACATTTGACTGCAGAGTTGTTTGTCTGTCTGTCTAAACACACTGTATTCCCTCACAGCCCTTAAGACACTTCAGAAAAGCCCTCATGTTTGTCATCCCTTCCCCTCCTTTTGTCCGACGTGCCCCCCTACCAGCTGTACAATGAGCAGTGACGTGACCCAGTTTACGGGGCGTAGAGCTTTCGCACACTTCAAACTTTGCAAAGGATTCAGAGGAATAAATCCAACATAAAAATCAAAAAGCCCCCAAAGCCGCTTTCCTCCGCAGAGCTTGCTGTGCTGATGCTGATCTATTACTTAGGAGTAGCTTCTGGACATTTTGTGGTATCAGGAAGGTCCCTACTCAGTTTCAGCAGCAAACTGCTCACTCCAGAGAGGTGTCTGGAAGGAACTGAACCTGGTTTGTTTCATCAGGCAGAAAAAGTTGCCTTTAGAAGGGTGATATAAACTGGAATAGGACCATGCCTGAAGAACTGGCTTTTGATGTCAGTCTGTCTTACTTCATGGCTCCAACCCCTGGCTCCTGGCTTCAGGGCTCAGCATTGACACAGATGAGTTTTCTACCACACTTGCCAAAGAGCCTGTAAAACCATGCGCACAAGAAGTGCAATATAGCCCTTCCCATCACCTGCACTCCCTGCTCATCCAAAGGGACGCATCTCATACCGCAGGTCCCCCTTTGTTTGGCTGGAAGTCTTAGGTTTCCAGTGCTGGTGAATCAGCATAACTAAAAGGAGAGTCAAGAAAAGCCTAATTAGAGACACCAAGTTTAATGAAGAAAACTGCCTGACAAGCCAAAAGCACTGGAACGATTGTCAAGAGATTTCCAAAAGGAGGGGAACAGGACACTTCAGTTGAGCTCCTTTCTTTGTACCAATGGGCAGGATACTATAACTACCCAAATCCTATGGTAAAGCCTAAATTTACACTTCATGAGCTATTCTAAAATCTGCCCTGCTTAATAATCCGTATTGGTAAGAAAAGATTTTAAAGTGCCTCTCACAATTAACCCCAGCCACAACCCTGTATAAATCAAAATTTTGCTACCATATCAAAACGTTACACTGGGACTGTATAACGTTGCCCATATCCTCATTACATGCTACACTAATTACTACCAGCAGATTCAGAATTTTCTGCACATTAGAGGCTTTTAGAGGAGCTATAAAAAATTTCAGGCACCATTAATTTAAATTTGTATTGAAATTTCCTTTTGACAGATGGCCAAAAATTACTTATTATTTAGAGTACCAGAGCTGCCTGTTTGCACATTAGAAGAGAAAAGGGAAAAATTAAAAGCAAGAAGGAAATTTATGTCATGTTCATTACCTGTTAAATGTTAAGGAGTATTATCCTGCATGAATAAATTATTTCATACATGCACACAGACTCCAGCTGCTGGCAACTGGCACGTTCTGGTTGACAAAAAACATCTCAAGTCACACAGCAGACAACCATAAAAACTGTCTCTTAACCAGGAGCCACTTAAGGGAGCACAGATCGATAGAACAAGCAACTAACTGCTACTCTGGGCATCACTGAAAACATTTAAGGAAATTAGCAAACTATTTCACCTTGCAAAGCTGGCTGCAAGTCCCATATGCTGATACACAATCCAACTCACAACCCGAACACTGAACAAGACAAACATCTATTTATAGTTACCATTTCAAAATAAATTGGTACAAAGCAGTCACATCTTCCTCTCAATCTCCAAAGCTGTATGCATAATTGTGCATTTGAGTCATTCTAAATAATTGCAGATGAACTAAACAAAATCAGTCTTTTGGTATAAATATTCCCCATAATATGCATGCCAGCATAAATACCTCAGCATCCCACAGAGATTATAGGAACAGGCTAACATCTTTTCTTTGAAAACAGTGATTAGTATACCCTACATATTAATAGTCCTTTTCATTCGCTTTATTGAGTGAAATGTTTGTTTTTCCAGCTACACAGGTATGCAGACTCACTAAGGAAACCAAGTACTTTCATATTCTCAGATTTAGAAACCTGCCCTACCTTTATTTATTTGTTCGGGTGCAAGGGGTGGGAAAATCTACTGACCTATTCATCCATAGCGAACAGGGGATGTTCTAAGGAAATCATCATTAAGTTGCGCAAAACTGGCATAAAGCAAGAATCCCAATGCCAAGCCCTTGTGACAAAGAAGTTGAAGTGAAATGTTGTCTTATGTCTGCAGATAGACAGCTTCGGTGCCTTTGCAGCTCGCAGTAAAAACTGACAGTTCCTGTCAGGTCCTGGTTGTTATGCAGAGCCACGTGGGTAACAGTAAAACTGACAACAATCGGCTCAATTTCATTCTGCTGGGACCCAGCAAAGGTGCCAGTGGCAGGGCAGACACGCTGGGGAAGGGGACAGGAAGGGGCCCCCCCCAGCACAGCTGCTAGGAAAGCAAAGGAACATCTCATCATACCAGAGCCCGCACGACGGCAGATCCTTGGTCTGGGCAAGGCTGAACAGCACGCTGGGCAGCGTGCTTCTGCTCAATCTACCTTGGACACATACGTAACATCATCCGGGCAACTATCTGGTAATCTTGTCAAAAACAGCTAAAATTTTGTTTAATTAACACCTCTTCTGCCATTTGGCCAACCCTAAGTTGGAATTACTTATTTCTAAAAAAATACCATTGAAAAGCCAAGAAATTACTTCCAAGTGTTCAGTCAGTTGGGAAGTGTTCAGTCTTACTTTTTGTGAGATAAGCACCTCTTATTTGACACTCACCATCACCTAAAAAGACTTATTTGTATGCTCCTAAAAATTATATGATTTGTTCAAGCTCTGACCCGTAAATATATCTAATTACTCAGAAATATGTAGGTAACTGTGTAACTGGCAACAAATGGATCTGCTGTGACTTGGTAAACTGCCAGTGGCAGCTAGGAAAGCAGAATGAGCTACGAAAGGGCAGAGAGAAGATGTCTTTCCACTTGCAGCATTAAAACCACAGGAGCCTCTATCACAGGAGCCTCTATCAGACAGAATTTGACAGCTGTCAAGTGTGGACCAGCATCCAGGCACATATGTTGAATCACAAAAGGATATATGACAGAATATTCAAAATTATATAAGTCACAGTTACGTATCTTCTTTCCTGGAAGTAACTGATCTTACTATATCTGCATTAAGAGTGTATCATTAGGATGTATCAAAATTATAGTTTTACAGTCTCTGAAGTTTTAAAACTACTGGCTAATTCTTTCTGATTCATAACCTCACATAAGCACACATAGCTTTCTCTTCCCATGCACAGCAACAGGCTCAATTCTGAAGAGTCAGCCTAGAAGCAAAGATGCGATCATCAAACTCAATGGACAGCAGGTCACATGCAATCCTAGTTATGCTATAAATACATTTTCTGAATGTATTCCGTAGTCTACATTTCCGCTAAGTAACACATGTCACTATTCAGTTTCAGTTTATGACATTTTCCACAACTCCAGTTCATACTTCAATAAAATGTAGTGTGCAGCTATTTTAAGTCCCTCTTTCCACCTATGAAATGGAGTCCTACCTTGATTGAGTCTCTGTCTGCAAGCAGAACAGCCACAACAGGCAAGGAGGGGAGGAGGAAGCGGTGGCAGCAGCAGCAGGGGATAGGGAGGTGGGGGGAGAGAGAAAGAGAAAAGTGCTAGTTAGTTTACATAAAATTATACATTTATCGTACTAGGAAGAAAGAATTCTGATGTCTGTTAAATAATAAATTGCACAGATGTTAACTTTTCTGTACAGTTAATTATTAATACTGTACAGCCAGATTTACAAATCCTGATTTCTACCATTTGAATGCACTTTCTGACTACAATTGGGTAATACTGAAGCATTTAGCTAGGAGTTCCTGTGAAAACTGTTGTGTGTGGCTGTTTGTTTGTTTGCTTGCTTGTTTTCAGACGTGAGTTTAAAAGAAAAGAAAAAGAGAAGTACAGAAAAATGAAGAAAGCCACGCACACATCTAGCAGCGCCTACCTCTTTGGTGATCGTTTTCATGGTGCTTCTTTTCGTCTTTAATCGGTAGGTGGGACTGCCCGCCAAGCGCACTGGACAGTGCCAGAAGGCCAGCACTGCTGCCAATGGGTGGGATGGCTGGAGGCTGCAAGCCTGAGGGGTGCGGGGGGAGAGGCACGGGGGGGCCATGCGACAAATGCTGAGCCTGGAGTTGTTGCTGCTGTGAAAAACGAAATATAGATATTGAATTTGTTCAGGAAACAGGGAGTTGTCCAATTGATCGCATGCATCAGATGTAATTGATCTGATCAGTCAATACACCTGATTGATCCATACAGATATAAGGTCACACAAACAACCTGGCATTTTAAAAATGTCCACAACACAATCTGTGAACCTCATGCTGAATTAAACATCAGCAAAAATAAGAGACTAAAGTAAAGGAATTTTCCAGTTTTGGTGAAATTCTTATTCTTCTGGCAGAGCTATTAGATTTTATTCTTTCTAGCAGAAACACACCACGTACATGTCTAATCAAAACATATATAACTATAAAAGCAGTTGTAAAATGCAAAAAAAAAAAAAAAAAATTGAGAAAATTAGTGTTAAACAGTTCTCCCAGCGCTACTGCACAGCATGCAGTGAGAGTTAATTTGAAAGAGAAAACCTGAATTAACAATCCAGAAAAGGAAACTGGTTGCAGCGACCGTTTTAAGCCCTTTAAGTGTCCTCAGCGGTACTTGAGCAAATTACTAAAGAAAATCTAATGTAGCAAGGCTTGGGTCCTCCTGTAGGCTTGCTCAATAATGCTGAAATAATTGGGCACTCTGTGCACGTTTAGTGATGCTCGAATGAAAAGCTAGAGGCCTGCCCTTGTACTCTTTTCTAGCTGCTGACTCTGTGTTGTGACAGGTTTATTTGAGTGGGACTGTGATGCATGCACCAGTAACTGCGCTGACAAGAGTTTAAAGTCATTTTTACCAGTACTCTGGCAACACATAGAGAAAGCCCTTGAGAGGTTCGAATTGGAGTGCTTGACCTCAACCAAGGCTGCATCAAGCTCTATGCTATACTAACCATTGTGGGGTAGTTGGCTTGTTTGTTGCTGTTGAATGGGAAGGCAGAAAAAAATAGATAAGAAAGAGAAAAAGTTATGTTAAATACATCCCGAGAGAGACCTGTTCAGGTCTAAGGCTTGCCCACTAACCGTCCAGCTAACTTCTGTTCATAGTTACTAGCTTTGAAATTTGCTTTTAGTTTTTAAGCTGTCACTTCTCAGGACTCATGGTAAATCAAACCAAGAGTCTTCTAGGATTTTACTAGGCTGTGCATGTTTTCATAAAGCGCTTCGGGGGATGAAGAAATAAAAACTTATTTTACATAAAAATATTCCATTTTAATTTCCTAATAGTGAAGATTCAAGTCCTACTTTTATTTGTTTTTCACTTGAATCCAAATTCATTTCCTACCTCACATCCTAGCTCTTTAATCAACAAACAATATGCTATTCACTTGTTTTTTCCCTCCTCTCCCTAGCGAGGATTTTTTTTAAGGGTGAGTTGAAAGTAAAAGAACGTTAAGTAACACACAGCACGATACATAGCTCATGCAAAACATTATACACCATCTCTCAATAGCTTCCTATGAACGTGTAGATCCTTTTCTCACTTTTCAAAATACAATCCATACTTTAGAATCTGAATGGCAGTGTCAAGTATGTGTCATCCAGCTTAGCCCAGAGTCAAGGAAAGGAGGGAAAGGAACATGAAGGAAGGAAAAACCACCACCACCACCACCAAGAAACAAAAACGAGATTCTTCTAGGTGGAAAAGGATCAGTCTTTTCCCTGCTTGCGAACCCATGTCATCCTAGTAGTTTCCCTTCTTTGTACAATGTATCAAACACATTTTGTTTGTTTGAAATGCTCTTATGGAAGGATGCTTCATTGCTCAGAATTTAAAATTAACTACAACAAAATGGAACAAGAGCCAACTGTGTATTGTTTAGCTTCAAAGGCTAAATGGGGCTGCCTTACAGACACAGAACAAGCTGGCAAGCGGGATTTGGGGGAGGGGGCACGGAAGAAACAGAGAAGAGGGAACAAGCGAAGAAAAGAAATGGATCAAACATCCAATGTTCTGGAGTCTCAATCTTCTTTTTAAATAAGGAATTTCCAGTATCCATTTGCAAATGTGCTATAAACCAAAGCAAGAAGATGTTTGCCTGAATCTGCCAGTGCCTTGAATTACTGGCTTTGAGAAGAGCCTGAGAATATTAGCAGTGACAGACTGCTCCCATCATTAACTGTACCACCAGTGATCCAAGGATGCAAGATAAGGAACACTCATGGCACTGTACTGTACAAGCTACACAGATCTGCCCAATAAACTACACAATCTGCGTTTTTTGACCTTCTCTGTGGATCTAGGATGGTTTGCAAAGAGCTCTAAAAAAAACTGCATTGCCAATGCAATCGTTTGACTGCTGTGTGTTGTGTGTAACTTTGATGTACCAGACAATGTTAACGTTTTCCAGAAACAATATGGATGCTAAGAGTACTGCGTGTGATGACACCTAGGGTTGACAGCACCTAGTAGCTTGAGATTACTCATAATATCATGTTTGACCTAAACCCTCTTGGCCAGGAACTGACCCATTTTCCCTGCAAGTTGAATTGCAGAATACTGAAAATAAGTGAAGAGTGGGAAAAACAAAACAAAACAAAACCCCAAAACACAAACCCACAGCCTTCCTGCTATGGAAAACCATATGCACATACTTTTTTGAAGAGATCAGGCTCTTCTGTGCAAGGCGATGGGAACTTGAAATCTGGAAAGAACATGAGTGGTCCCCACAGCCACAAAATTGTCGTTCACTCGGATAGTAGAAATTTTGTTAAGATTTAACCATACAAAAAGAAAACACTCTGGTATGAAAACTAAATTGTTAAATAAATTTAAATAACATGCAAAATTCCATTATTGCCTAAGACGCCTGTATGCAAAACCAGAGAGAGACAGGGACAAAATGATGGGACTCCTGAAAGTCATGCATTTTATTAGACTGGAATGGGAGGATTGTGAATGATGATTGCACCGGTCCAAGAAAGCACCATAACCTCCTCTAACGTGATACACAAGGTTGTATGGCAAAAGTGAGACATTGGTCCAAAAATAGAAACGAAAACAATCCAAATGAAATACTGGGCAGACTCTTGCCCTCAGAATACAACCTACTGTGGGAACAAAGCTGGCAGTAATCATGAGAAGAGACAGAAAAAAAAATAGTACGGTCACATAATTAAGCATTGTTTGCTAACACACATATTCAGGAAGGCAGAGGCAGAAAGTGACATTGCATCTCTTTGAAATCCATTACTGCATTCTAATGCCCACAACATTGACGACTTGGTTTTGCTCTTTCACTGCCTAGACATGTCATCAGTGAATGTCATCTTGCAGGGTGACCTGTACACAGCTGCTTGGTTACCAGGAAAGTTAGAAAAATACAGGGCACTACCTTATCCACTGGGCCTCAGGTTAGTGCTACAAAGTGCTAGAAAATGCAGTACCCTCTGTAGTTCTCAAAATTGCCAGAGATACGGAGCAGTAAGACAGCCGGTTTTACACTGTTAGATATTTATTTATTCTCCCCAAACAGAAATACTCCATTATGGAAGAAAATCTACACCCATTTCTGCCTATATAATGAATGCAGGAGATCATAAAATCAATTTAAAAACTTGTAAAGGAAAGCCTAAAAGTGAGCCAACTGAGCAACCGTGAAATTTTTTGATTTTGCTGTAATGTCTTTGTTTTTTTCTCCTCCATCCCTGCTTTTTAATGTGTTATCCTTACTCATGTCATTTATGAACACTTAGCATGTGGTTAACTTTAGACTATAGCAGAGTCGGCTACAGTATGCTTAAAGTCAAGCATGCATGTGTTTTCAGGATCAGTGCATCACTTGTGAAGGCAGTACACCAGGCTTAATTATGCTATAAATTTCTTAAACTATTGAAAAATGAAAACAGCAACAGTTAGCTGTCAAGAAATATGTTCTACAGAACACTCCTGGACTGCAATGTTTTTAAGAAATGTCCAAGCTGCAAAAATATAAAAACATGGGTAATCCCAGGAATCAGAAAGAAGTCAAAAAATAAAACTGTATTTTTTTGTAATAAGTTTACAAAAATGCTTGTTTAAATCAGCGCATTGTCAAAACTGAAAGTAAAACTTCCAAAATTTATTGACATATATATCAAATAAGAGATAACATCTGTTTGCTATTAATCCGTTCTTTAATTTTCTCAGTACTCTTCTATATATTCTACAGCAACAAAGGGTAATCTACAGTAACACAGCGTAAAACAACTAACTCCCAATGCCACATCTAAACAAATGGGTAAAAATGCTTTGCAAAAGGTTCTTCTCCGAGTTATCACTACTTTTCACAACTGCAATTCTAAATATGGATGCTTGGTTTAATTCTTTTCCTCACACATCTTAAGAGATCAAATGTAAAGTAAAATGTGACAATAAATCCACTAAAAATTAGCTTCTAATGCTCTCTTTGAGTCAGCACATGCAAAGACTATTTTCCTGGAAAAGACTCAAGTTTTTACTGGATACTATCCAAGCAGCTCTATGTCACAGTAATCTACTCCTTTTCCCCTTATAGATCCTAAAAGCTCACAGCCATTATCCAAACAACCCGAAAATATTCCTCTAACCTGAAGACATTTCTGATGTTAACAAACTAATCTTTCAAAAACACGTTTTAGTTCTATAAGCATGTGCATACTACATGTACCTGCACTATTGCTGCAGGGGGAATACCCAAAATATCTAAATGAAATTGCTCCATGACATTTTTTAGGTGATTTGATTACTTAGAGTGAATCACTTGTAAGGTAGGACACACAAAACAGCAACCATGAGGAAAAGGAAAGAGAGAGATAAAAACATTGACTGGCTCAAGTGCGCACAATGTCAATGCATGGTTCAAAGGTCAGCACAAAAACCGGAAATGAAAGTACTTTGGCACACACAGTTAAGGGAGTGTTTAGGACCATATGCATTTTTGCCTAACATGCCTCTTGGACCACCTGACAAAATAAGCACTATTTCTTCCTCACACAGTTCTCTCTCTACTGGCATAACGCCACAAAACAAATTTTTATGATGTTAAGACAGAGTAAAAGAGTCTACAAAGAGAGTC